GGGGGGGGGGGTGTATTCATGACATTGGATTTGGTAGTGATTTATGGCAACAAAAGAAAAAAACTGTACTACAGTAATATTTAAAACATGCACCAAAGGACACTATTGAGAGAGTGAAAAGACAACTCATGGAATTGGGAGAAAATATTTGCAAATCATATCTGATACGTGATTCATATGCATAACAAAGAACTACAACGCAACAAAACCCAACTGAAAAAGGACTCATGTCAACACTTCTCCAACAGAAGATGCACATGAAAGATGCTCGACATCACTAGTCATCAGGGAAATGCAAATCAGAACCACAGTGAGGTACCGCTTCACACACCCACCGGGAAGGCTGCAGCCGAGTGCGGTACGAGGAATCTGAAGCCCTGTGCACGGCTGGTGTGCATGACAAGGTGCAGCTGCTGGGGGAAAGTTTTGTGGTTCCTCAAAAAGGTAAATATAGAAACCCTTATGACCCAGCAACCCCACTTCTGGGGATACACCTCGAAGTAAAAAGCGGGGACTGAGACCTGTCCACCCATGTGCACAGCAGCACTACTCAGGGCAGCCAAGAGGTGGAACAACCTGGGTGTCCATCGGTGGGTGACCAGATCAACACAATGTGGTGCGCCCATTCGATTTAGTAGTAGTCAGCCATGAAGAGGAAATCCTGACACATGCTACAGTGTGTGGGAACCTTGAGGACACTATGCTAAGTGAAATAACCAGAAACAAAAGGGACAAATACTGTAAGATTCTACTTACAGGAGGTCCCTAGGGGAATGAAAGCCATGGAGATAGACCGGAAGAGCAGGACAGAGGTTACCAGGGACGGGGGAGGAAGGCATGCAGAGTTACTGTGAAATGGGTAAGCACGTGTCGGGACAGGATGATGAAGCTCTAGACGTGAATAGTGATGGTTGCACAACACTAAATGGACTTAATGCTACAAATTCGTACATTTAAAATGGATAGAATGGCAAATTTTATGTATATTTTACAATAAATAAAAATTATGCAGCCCAGCCAGGCATGGCTCAGCGGTTGAGCATCAACCTAGGATCCAGGAGATCGCGGTTTGATTCCCGTTCAGGGCACATGCCCGGGTTGCGGGCTCGATCCCCAGTCGGGGGCGTGCAGGAGGCAGCCGATCAATGACTCTCTTTCATCACTGATGTTTCTCTCTCCCTCCCTCCTCTCCCTTCCTCTCTCTGAAACCAATAAAGATATATTTAAAAAATAAAATAATGCAGAAACCAAGCTTGCTCCCTGACCCTCTAGGTCCTGTCCTACCCACTCAGCTCCAGTCCCAGCTGGACACTGCTCTCACCAGATAACCAGCTCCCTCTGAATAAGCCTGTCAACCTGCCCAACTGCCACCGCTGAGGATGTTGCTGCCCTACCCACCAAATTCAAATGCTTTCTCCTGGAATCCTTGCCACCGCCTCTCTGGCCACTTCTGTGTTCCTTTGGGTGTAGGCAGCTCTCCCCTCTCTCTGCCATCTCTTCAATGCCGGAGCTCAAGGCCTGTTCCCTCTCCACTTCCTGCATAATCTCTGTTCCTGGACTGCCTCATCCCTCCTAGTTTCAGTTCCTGTCTGGACACCAGGAACTCCTGAAGTTCACACCCAGGTCTCTCCAACTGCCCCAGAGTACCTCCTAACCCAGCAGCGTCACTGCCACCTGCCCTGGTCAGAAATGCACCTCAGGTGCCACTGCAGACCCTGGCATCCAGGGAGTCTCCCTAAGATCACAATCAGTGACCTCAAGAGGAACGTCAGCGTTTGAGCTCTTTTTTTTACTTAAAAAAGTTGAGATAAAATTCACTATTTTAAAGTGTATGATTCCATAGCTGGGCTCTCACTTTACCATCTCACTTAACCCTCTCCCTACTGACAATTAATGCAATTAAAAGAGAACAACTCCACACACTGCCTTATTTCCTGCTGCCACCAAAATCCCCAAGCTCCAACCAGAAGCTGACCGGTGCCCTCCCTGCATTCAGGTGTCCCCCACCCCCACCCCACCAGGACGACAGACTGGCATGCAACACGCTGCCCTTTGCTCCCCTTTGCACGAAGCCCTCTGCAGAGGGCTCTCCAGACCTGCTGTTTCCCACACCTCCCAGTTCCTTTTCAACGCACTTAAGCAGGCACTTAACACCCTGGCTGAGGTCACCAACGGCCACCAGATCTTGGTCCCCCCATCTTCCCAGACCGCCCATCTGTGTTCCCAGCTCCACCTCGTTCTCTCTGTTCACCAGCCCCATGGCTCTGACTGCCAATCTAGACACCAACTCCCCAAGTACTGCCTTCAGCCCAGATCTCACCTGGGCTGTCTGCATGACTCGTTTCGGGACATACTTGGCTGCCTTCTTATCCTCTGCCACACTTCTAATCCACAAGGAAATAAAAATGGCGCTCTCCAAAATACACCCAAACTCCAGAATTCTCTGCTTCACAGCTACCTCCCAGCCCCCGCCCCCTGGCCCCTGGCCTGGATCACTACAGTGGTCTCCTTGCTCCTGCCCTTCCAGCTGAACAATCTGCCCAAAGCTCTGCAGCAGATTCTGGCGCCTGGATCCAGAGTCAAAGCCCCTCTACCCTGCACCCACGAGGCCTCAAGATCTGCCCCTGCCCTGACTTCTGACTACTGTGCCTGCTCACCACCCACCCACCGCTCACTGAGACTCTTCCCTCCTTTTCATAGCACTTGCTCCTAACATGATATAATTGATTTGTTCTGTCATTTACCGCCCCCACAAAGGCATTCACTATTTTGCTCACTGCTAAGTCCCAGGGCTGCAAGGACAGTGCCTGCCAGGCAGTGGGTGCTGGGTAAAACCAAAGTGTGCT